TAATCAACCATTTTATGGTCTAATTTAGGTGCCTAATTAAAAACAGAGTTCAACACATGCTACACCGTCTTGCTAATAAATCCTGACAGCTTTGTAACATGATGGTTCATATTTCAAATTGTTGCATATAAATGTAGAATTTTGATCTTCACCCAGGAGCCTGAAGTGAGTTACATACTTGGTTTAAGCTCCAGGACTGAAAATACAATTACTTCAAAAAGGATTATCCCCAATCAGATCTTATCTCAAACATCCCTTCATGAAGAGGAAAACAGTCTTTGCCACCAAGTTGTTAGAAACAGACTAGGAAAATAGGGGAGAAGTGAGATTTCTCAGCATTTATTGAATTAAAACGGTAGGAAAACTTGCTACTTTCAGCTATTAGCTTTCAGGAGGGAGTTTTTCTGAAGTTACTGGGTTTCAAAATCTAAGTCTAAAGAAATCTACTCAAAGTTTGGTTACAGTTGTCTCCTAGTTAAATATAAGTTTTGTCTTGACTCGTGGCACTGTATTTCTTTTAAATGAATAAATTCACTCCCAGAAGTTTTAGAGCATCTCTTTTAACCCCATGTCCTCCACACCTCCCAGCCTTACAAGGGGGCAAATGGAAGAGAATAAATCTATTCTCAGGAGGGACCTGTGTTGTTTTCTCAGCCTTTACACTTGAGGGATATTTTTGTCATTTTAATGACTCCTTTGACTCCAACTGTCCAGTCCAGGCAGAGAAAAGAAACTGCCATGGTGATGTAATTACCCTCACTCTAGTCATAAACCCACTCTGGTCAAGCAAGGAGCCTCTTCTGAAGCTGATATTTTTTTAAAGTGAATGACAAAGTGAGCAATGCACACTGAGGTCACGGAGTACATTGGAAAGCTCAAGCTCTTTTACAGCAAACCCAGTTTTGAACTTGTCATATGTCACCACCATCATGTTTTTGGTCACTTATGCGAGGGAGCATGGCACAGAGTGACCTGGAGCAGGACTGCCGAGGTTAGCACATTAGCTAGCCATGTACTAGCTGGGACAACTCGGGCAAGTTGCTTAACTTCTCGGTGCCTGTGTGTTTTCATCTATGAAAGTACCTACTTCATAGGATTGTACTAAGGAATACATTTGCTAATTCTGTAAAATTTGAAACAATACCTGGCACATTGGGAAAACATTCAGGAATGTTACCTACCAGCATTACACACACACACACACACACACACACACACACACACACACTTTTTTTTTTATTAACGTGGCCACATTATTAGTGTCAGGTTATTTTGTGCAACCAACAATGAAAAGAAGAGTCAAGATGGGGAATGAGTTTCTGCTCTGGAAAGTTTAAGGCACATTTCTAGGTAAAAATTAATAATCACACTATTTCGCTAACTTAATTCCCAAACTGGTATCATTATTAACATGTGTGAAAATCTAACAAACTTACACCAAGTCAAAAAGAGAGATATTAAAGCATGTATCTATTTAAGTTTAAGTCAATATGCAGAGCCTAAATGTCAGGTGTGTGCTTTCTCCCCGCTGGCATCTGGGAGGCTCACAGCCCCAGAGCTCTCAGCCACCGCCACAGCCAGCCAGGGAAGGGGCAGGCCTGTACCTCACCCCACGCGGTGCTCACCGGCACATGCCAAGTCTGAGAGGCCTGAGTGAGGAAGAGAGCTGGATCATAAACTGGAGAAGCAAACCCACATGAGTCTTATCCCCGACTAAGACATACTCAGGTTCCGGGGGGAAGGGCGCACTGACTTGTAAGTAGGTAGGGCAGCGGCAGAAAGCTGCTGCTCTCTGTCTGGTGGCGAGGTCAGCTCCGCGTCGCTGTGACCACGGTCGCCTCCATCCCACAACCGTCAATCCCACAACAGTTCTGGCCGAGGAAGGAACTACAGTCAATTTCGGAGACTTCATGCAAATCCGCGCAGGCCCAGGCTGCTGGCGAGGCCACAGGAAGGACTGGGCACCAATCGATGAAACCCATCGAAGACTTGGCACAGGCAGAGCCAAGATCTGCCAATTATGATGCCGACACTCGGGTTCAGCCATCCATGCCCGTAGTTTTATCACGCCTTCGAAATGCCGAAATGCTTTCAAAATGTTCCCCTTCTCCTATTTTCTAGCTGTGAGGACTTGTTTGAACCACGTGTCTGACTGCAACTCTCAGGTTAATTATTATCTGTGCTCGTCTCCAATCTGCTGCCCGCCTGTAGGGACCGCGGGGAGATACCAGGACGCGCACCTCTGGCGAGCACCAGGGCTTGCCCAGCCGGGAGGGCGAAGGGTGCTCCCTGGCACCGGGTTTAGCAAAAGCGTCTGGGACAGACGTCTCCTCCGGTGTAGTTACAGAAACTTAAAACGGCCGCTTTCAAAATAATTGTAAGTCTACACATTTGCTCAGACATCCCGAAAATTCTTCATTAATTAAAATGTGTTCATTAAACAAGGCACTTAAAATAGTTCTTTCTTTTTCCTTAAAAACACCCACTAGCCCAGCGGCCGGCGTATGCTGGCGCCGCCCGGAGCGCTGGGCTGGAGGGGAACCGCGGCGCTTCCAGGGTGCGCCTCCCGCCGCGCGGGCCAGGGGTGGCAGCCGCGGGCCGCGGGCCTCCTGGACCGTCCAGCCCGGCTCATCGGCTTAGGGAGATGCTGGGGTGGCGGGGTGCTGAGGGACTTCCCGCCTCCGGCGTCCGGGCCCCAGCCCTCGCGGCCCCCACGCCCGGCGGCCTCTCTCACCCCGCGGCCAGGGACACCCGTCCCGCCCCGACTCCCGGCTGCGCTCGGGTTGCCAGAGCGACTTCGTTCTTTATTCCGCGGTTTTGAGTCAATCAAAAGGAACGGAGCAGGTGGCGGGCAGCAGCCTAAGAGACTGAATCTTCCTGTGGGGATTTCCACAGCCGGCCAGGTGCTTTCAAAGCCGGCTGACGTGGGAGATTGTAGGTTCCTGCCCGTCCTCCCGGCCCGGCCCGGCCCCGGGCCCGCGTGTCTGATCTCAGCGCACACCCGGCGCCTCCGGCCTCCGGCGGGTTCCGGATGGAAGGGCACCAGCGATCCCCTGCCGCCGGCCCGGGGTCGGCACCAGGAGTGGAGCGGCGGCGGTAGAATAACAATAGGATCGATGACAATAGCTAACAGCCAGAGCGGCCCCACGTGCCAGCCAGCACCTGCCCGCCCCAGCGCACCCCGCCTCTGCGCTCCGCTCCGCGGAAACCCGCACGCCCCCGCGGCACTTCGGGGAGCACTGGGGCTCGGCCCGACTTAACCAGCCGCCGGAGCCAGACCGGAGTCCGGGCGTCCTTCTGAACAGCCGGTGCCCAGGACGGGACGGTGGGAAGGTGACT